GCCCTAACACATTTCGTCACGCAACAATAAACTGGCAGGATTTGGTCACACTACTCTCACCCGATGATTGTGTGCGTTCATTCCGAAAGTTTGGAAACCGCATCGCAGCTGTGAGTACTAATTTTCAATAGTTGCGATAGTGGACTGCTCTGTGAAGTGGTGCACTATTTGTATTTTCTTGAATGTTTCTGTACATCCACACACCACCAGCCGTTTTTCTGTTATAGCAGGCCCAACACGGGTGCTGTGAATACGTCGGAGCTATCAAGAGTACACCACACAGCTTGATCAGAATCAACTGGTTGCCTGCGTGTTTTCCAATCGGTGTCAAAGAGATGAAAACACACTAGACGGATGGGCTCCTGTGGATGGGACCTGCAGTCAGAACATTTGGTTTCGTTTACTGTGGTACTGACGGAATGTAAACCCATCGCTGAAACGAGCAATGTCACCTGGAAGACAACCGAAAAACGCACGTAGATCTTTGTGTTGGCAAACTAAAAGCCAATTTGAATTAGGCTTCAAAATTAAACAGTGGCCACGTCTTTAGCAACTGATGCTAAGCGGAACAACCCAACTAGGAAGAAAGACAAGTGACCTCGGGTAATCTGAGTAATATGACAAAATGACGCGAAGGTTTCATCAATTCGCTTAGTCCGTAATCCAAGGAGTCGAAATCTCGCACTACACTTGTTCGTCTACACTTTTACGACTGCACATTTTTCTCAGCACAAAGGACGCGCCTACTACTAGTACAATCAGTTCACCTCAAAACTCATTTATGCTGGCCAAAATCTCAGTAACTCAGCTGAACGAACATCCAATGAGTTGAACAAACATTTTCCTCAAATGAATTTCTCTTTTCCTCATTCATTATACACCATCATCATTAGTACCATCCCTATTGTTAGTACTATAATTCTATGGCAATATAGATGACAATGGATCCATATGAGCGACGTGTATACGGCTGATGATTTGATACGGATTGAAAGAGAGGAAATTCATCGCACCTTCGTTTCACTCAAGCCAGGTTGCATTTAAGTTCCTGAACTTACATCCATCGTCTTTAGATTCATCAAACAGATAGCGGCTTCAGAATCATGTTCACCCACACCTGAAGGCACCCACACATTGAAGGGCTCACTGGGGTTTTAACAAGATGGCCCAGAGCCCGCAATGACACAGCTATATGTAAGCATTTGGGTGAAAATAGCCACCCAGGAAAACGGGCCTCGCGTTAGAAGTGTACGGTCTTGAGCGCATAGTCACCTCGTTCGTTGTCTACTCGCATTCAGCTTGCCGCAATGGCCGCCTCGAATGACACTGGTTTACCGACATGTATGTATTCGCGTGTGTGACCTATCTACACCCGGGTTCAAACGGGGGTTTCTGGGCATGCTTTGAAGCGGCCTCTCTTGACTTCCGTGTGATCGCACCGCCAATCGGGATGACGAGACTGGCTTCGGAAGGGAAACCGCTGTTCATACTACAGAGACAATGTTCTGCTCACCGTTGTCTGTCATTTTAGCCTTGGGAGACACAGCAGTGCAATTTTTCTCAGGAAGGTGGACGACTGAGGCTTACCGCGGAATTTCATTTATTGATAAGCAAATACTGTGGTAGACGTTCTAGCCTAATTCTTCGTTTCCCATATTCGGGATATCCAACCTGCACAACACTCAAAAGTCTCATATCGGGAATACCAGGAGAGTCAGACTGCTGAAATTAACCACAGGACACCCGAAACCTACTGAACCTCGAACAAGTTCCAAATAGGAAAGCATCGAGTCCCGTCAATCATTCAATCAATTCAGCAAAATCCGATGAGTGTTCAGGCGCGCCACCGAAGCACGAGCCAATGTGATCACCGATCAGGCATTTCATGGAAGCACGATCGATGTTGACGGGTGTTCACTAAACGCCTTTCAAAGAGCATGGATCAGTGTCGGAAAGTGGCCATCACATGGTGCGGTAGTGTTGTGAATTTTGCACTCGCACCCACTCGCTGGTTTGGAATCAAGTTCTTGTGTACCCCTGTCGGTGAACTCTTTTTGGCACCAGGCAGTGGAGTGGGAACAGTAATTAGATTGAAAAGGAACAACAAGTATCTCCATCATTTATCAGGCTCGGTAACTTGAAGTGTGTCCCGATCACTCACGTACTATCCAAATCCCCGCCGGCCGGTTCATGCAATGACATATGGGGTGCCTCAACTTGTCCTTTGTGAGAATCGAACTATTCGGCAGGAAAGCCTACTGATTAATGGAATTCAGTAGGTCTCACCGCAAACTCATCACCTGTAGTTGTCTCGATGTGAATTTGCTGATATGGACAGGCGTTGTCGAAGATCCGTAAAATGCCGAACGTGGGTGAATGCGCGTACTAACATCGTAGATCCAACCCACCGTCATTGATACGTGTCGTGTCCTAATCGGGTCGGCTACTTCAATTAGGTCTCACACGTGATTCTTCAGTTGCCATATCAATACACAATAGGTGAGGTAGGATCTTTAAGTTAAATCAAAGCAAGTCAAGGGAGGGGAAGGAAGTGCGTTTCCTGGAGGCTTCGCGTACCGGACAGAAGGTCGATTGCAAAATCTGTTCTCTTGTCTTTCCTGACTACCGTTGGACGCTGTGGCAGAGGTGAGGGAAGTTAAGCGGTCACTGTACTGCGACTTCCACCAATATTTCTATCTCATTGTTCACTCAATACATAAAAGATGGTGCAATTTTTGGTGCAACTAGTCGCGCATTCGACTTCACTAATTTGACGTCAGTCGCTCCAGATTTGGCCATCTTGTTGGGTTGAATAATCGGAAAAACAATGTGATATCGTGAATAATTTTGCCTAATATCACCCAACTGGGCTGGACCCGATGACCGCACTCGAGTTGTTCCCTTCAATTATTTAGAATTTTCTGTCACGCACAACAATTCACGACGCTTTCTGATGATCCATTCCGTATTGTGGAAATCGACTAAATCCCCACTCAAAACGCCTCATCGTTTCCAAGTCCCGATCCAACTCAACTCATGACAGTTCAGTACCAAATATGTCTACCCAATATCCTTGTGCAGGGACCACCCTCGACGACTTGTACCGAAAGGATGGTGAATCTCCGTTGGTGTCCATCCAAACTATTCTATTGTTTGTGTCACGACAACAGTCAGTCATGTACAATAGGTTACAACATAAATGGGAGGCACAACGATGGACCGTAAGTAACTGCGGAATGCCACATAACTATGGTTGAAAAACACAGTTCCTATTTCCTTTAATTCCCTGAGATGTACCAAAAACACGTTGGCGTCATAACGTATTTGCCTGATTCAACCCAGTAAACTATGTGATTTCATTCACACTAGCTAAATCAACTTGGTGACCAATTACCCCCGTTTAGGCATGCAGTGAATGTAGTCTGCGAAAATTCAAGTGCGTCTGCCCACATAATCAACTGCGAAGGCTACATCGCTCCGTTCTCCAAGCAAGTGTTCGAGCAGGAGTGGGGAGGGGGGAATGCAATACTCCAATTGAATGCTACTCGCCTTCCAGGATGGGGACCGCGTGATCCTCACTGTGCCTGGTTGGAGACACTATGAGATATGGCTGCAAACCGATGTCAGTGGCGTTCTGGTTGCCGTTTTTATCCAGAGTGCCTGAGTGAATGTCTGTAGGTGTAGGCACCTCGGAATGATTGTGATAAGCTAGCACTAAGTCCCTTGATCCGTCCACTTTTACTCTTTTCTTTACAATAAGGCTTTCAAATAAATCATGATTGTACGGCAGTGAAGCATCGGTGTTGAACACTGACGTCATGCTGTCGATGATGATGATGATGATGTTGATGGTGCTGATGAGTTGATTGCGTGCATTAGGAGGTAGGTTGATGAGTACACACTATCCAGGCCATCAGTAAACCAGAAAGATCAGTTGTGAACACAACAACGACAACTTAAGGCCATGAAATCTCGAACAAGGAACTCAAGCTTCATCGACCAAGGTCATTAGAAGTGTTATACGGAGCTTCCAAATTGATCTCCTCAGGAAAATGCCGAACAACAGCCACTTCTCGGGAAAATCGAACATGAGCCACCGCTACAAAATTTCTTAGATTCTTACCTCTGGAGTGGAAACTGAACCCCTCCCTTATACGTCGGCATTTGTTTACACGTATCCTACAGGTCGAGTGCGGTCGATGGTCGTTCAACACTCGTATGTTCCCCCCAACCAGGGTGGATGTCTGGAAACGTTTCTTGGCCGTCGTGCTCGAGGTTCAAAACGGAATGGCAACTCGTGTCCAGGAGGGCGAGCTCTGGAAGCATTTCATCGTACACAAAACACTGTAAAATATGCAAACGTACCACATCAACTCACGTATGGTTAAACAAATCCAGAGGCCCTAAGTTTACAAGCCAATCAACTGTCAATCAAGTGATCTCTGTCCAGCATCCGTCTATGGGCCATGCTACTTTCGACTTCCGTGTGAACCTATACTGACATAAATTGAACGCCCATTGTTGGTATTTCCAGCTTATACCTCAAGAAACCTTAGTTGGGAGAGACCTGCTCTCGAAAGCCAGACATGCTCACTCTCGCTAATCAAATACTGCGTACAATCAGTGCACACATACGGACTAGTAACATGGCTGGAAATGTGAGAAACGTTGACGCCAATCCTGGAAGGAGTGATGCTTCGATTCATCAAAATTGCTTGATCACTGTTGCCCCGCAGTGATCACACGACTTACTGGTGCGTTTTGTAACGAGTGCATGAAGTAACAACTACGGGATTAGAATGGATGCAAAATTTGCCATATATCCTCGAGTGCATGAAATAACAACTACGGGATTAGAATGGATGCAAAATTTGCCATATATCCTCAACTACTATCAACCTGGTGAAAAATCTCTGCCTTACCTTCACGATGAATGTTGGTTAGGGATCAGGTAATGTTTAACGTTGCACACACCGCACCCTTGATCGCTCTCTCTCAGACACTTGCATGGACAACGGGGCATAGGCCTTGACTACTCCACAGGTCTGCACATCTCAGCCTACGGAACTGGGCACTCCAGATTACCCGTACACCAACCACACACAATTGAGACACTGTCAGGGCGCGCCCAGACAGAAGAACAAGCACGTGTGCAGAAAGTGACGCATCCCCAATGTCACACCGGTACGACGCGTGCGGAAAGTAGGTGAGTCGACGGCTCCCACCAAACACGGCATAGCAGCACACGACCAGCATAGTGGCCTGAGACAGTTCACGACCGGAACACCACCATTGGCTTTACGGAACGAACAAGTGAACGACCACAGTTGATCAATTAATCATCCTATATATTTACGCAGACGCTCTGTATGTTTTGTCCTGGTAGTATAGCCGTGTCCCCAGTTCTATGTCTTCTCCCCATCGCGTAGTCTGGCAGGCTCACTGCAGAGGTAACCAATAGCTCGGCCACCGCACAACACAACAGACACCAGTTTCAGGATCCGGCCCAGCGTGCCGCTTGTTGGCATCGTCGTGATTCATTGACTAGTTCACCCGTCACCTGACTCCTGATTGTTCAGATCAACATGCCTGCAAGAACCTACATCTCACGTTATGTTCCGAGTGGAATATCTTCTACACGAAGTATTGGTCATGCGAATAAAATCAATTGCCTCCAGGTGGGAGCGTTGGCAATCCAATGGACAGGATATATTAATGACCTGTTGTTCTTTTCATGGTTTCGTTTCGGGAGCACCATTGTAGTTTATATGTGAACAAACTTCTTATGCAAATTCGCACTGGTCAAAACAGTCGTTGGTTTGAAATTACTCGATATTTCTTTGCTGTCATTGTTCTGAATCAATACTCCGGATGTCATTGCTGATCTGGATGAATCAAGTGCACAACAGGTACAAATTGGCAAATCCGGGAATTTCTCTGTTTGTGGTTTTCTGATTGGTGCATTTGAGCGGCCAGTGAGAATGCGTTGTCGATGCGAACAAAACGAATGAACCCGAACGCTCGTTGTTAGTTGTAGTCCGCCAAAACTTGGACCATGTGCTCAACCATCACGTTCGTGGCATTGTTCCAACTAGTACTGGTTCAAACACAGTGTCCACCTGGATTCTTCCAGGGGCTAAATGAAAAGTGTTTTATAGAACTCCCGGGCAATTACACGTTCTGTGGCGCGAACAAGCGATGTGCAGATTTGGGGCAGGAGATAAACGCGAGCATATTTATGCTCGGTAAATCGTTTAACGAATTTTTATGGCCTTTTCTCAGCGAACCTTTTTCTAAACATTACTGGACA